ATATATATATAGTAAGTTTCACTGCTGTCACATCATGCAAAACACACACCTGCATTAGTGTATAAATACAATTCTGCATACTATTTACTTGAAACCCAGTAGAATATTGGGCAGTCTGAGTAGAGATAAGCTTGAGTGGTTTAGCACATAGAGGCGATAGCGGGGGCGGTGAGGGCAGCGGGGGTGCTGGCGGTGGTATAGTAATAGTAGTAGTAGTAAGGGGGTTGTTGCAAAGATAACTGATATAAGAAACAGGCTTGATTTAAACGTTCTACGTCGGTTTTTCAGTACTAAGATGGATGTAAATGGTTTTATCATTTAAAGTTTGTTTTTGACGTAGCCAAACGAATATGCCACTTTTCTTTTTCAACATAAACATTTGAACATTTAGACTCACAATAATAATCTTATTCACTCAAGTCAATTGTATTTGTATAGCACAGTTTTAAAAAAACAAACAATGAAAGTGAAAAAAGTATAGTAACATGTATAGTATAAGAATAATAACAAGCATACACCGTCATAAATGCAGGATGACAAAGTATACACATAAATAAGATTTAAAAAAAAAATAGAAGAATTGGACTTGATTTAAAATATATGGTCAATCTGTATTGTAAAACTTTTCCCTGAGACGTCTGCTCAAGCAGTAGCAACAGGCTGTTAATCTAGGTTGTGCATTTTTGGATCACCTTAGTTTCAATCTGTCTTACTAATGAAGCTGAACACTTACAAAAAGTAGTGCTAAAATAAGGAGTAAACAGGAAAAGTACATTGAAAGATTGAGTTTGTCCTGCCTTGACGAAACCTTCACTATATGCCATGTGCTCATGCTGTTATAAAAAAAAAAAAAAAAGTTGAACTTTTACTGGAGGAGTGAGAAAGTGTGTTTATTTACAGTTGTAATGACTCTGTAGTGTTCTACGGATGAAGGAAACAATTCTAAATCATCAGGATAGATCCACTGAAGTGCACCAAGTAACATAGGTTGTTGTTGTTTTTTTTCTTCCTGGTGCTTTAGTTAATCCAAGTCTAGGTGTCTCATTTATTATAAGGCCTTAGATGTTCTGGCATATTCGTCTATTGGTCCTCTACCAATAGCTCCCAGAAGAAGTGTAAAATAATCAATACAATATGTAAGCAACATATTTAATGGGATAAAACTTATTAAGAACATGAGAGGCTAATCAAAGAAGGCACAGCAAATGACCCCTTCAGTGTTGAAACCACATGCATTTCTACTTGAGCTGAAATTGCCTTGGGATGAAATCAGTTTGTTGCTAGTATATTGAAGCATTGCACTTATTGATTTGTTCCTCCACACTTTATGCATGCTGTGAATGGGCTTTCTAGATTTAAGGAGACTTGAGAATTGGATGGATGGAGGTCTTTGGTTGAGCAGGGATAGGACTCCCTCTGATGCACCTTTCAATCAAGCTTAGCTAAGTTATCCTCATGAATATGAAATATAGGGACAGCAAAGCTTGGGGAAAGTTAAGGGATTGTGTTTGTGTGCACAGGGGTGTATAGAATAATAAATATTTAAGTTAGTCCCCAAGTATGTGAATATAAGTTGTTGGGAATTACTTTTTGGGACCAAAGCACTTCAATGAAAAAAATAAAATAAAATAAAATAATAATAATCACAGCATGGACTCTTCTCAAAATTGATAATTTTAGAATATGTAAGCTCTTAATCAGTTTTCCCCTCTCATAATTAATCAAGGTAAATGTTAAATAAAGCTGCCATCTAACATTTTTAAGCTCTTTACTTCATTTGACATAAATTATTTTAAGTCTTTAGGTTAACATGTGTAACTCTTCTGATTGGATTTACAATAAGCCTGTGCAGCCTTTGTCCTTTCAGTTGGTGATTACAGCCTCTTTTTCTAGGAGAATAATAACATCCTCAATAAGGAGCTAAACACAAATGAGCTTTCTGATTTAACACATTTTCCTGCCAATACCCCGCCCCCATTTCCCCATTTCACTATTTTTTTCCACGTTTGTTTAGTGTTGTTGATTCTTTTTTTTTTTTTTTTTTACCATCCTACGCCCGCATTGCGTCTGTCTAAAATGAAGCATCCAATCTGAGGCCCCATCTGCTGAATGATCTCCTCTCATCGCATGCATGTACACAAGCCTACGTTTTACGCCAAGGCGTTATCCACTTCTTCATGGCCCATCTGCTCTCCTTTTTTTTTCCCCATCCCATTTTCTGTCTGTATTCCATCTCTTTATCCCTCTTTCACTGCCATATTTCAGTTAGCCGTCTTGGTTTGTTTCAGCGACGCATTTCGTGAAAACATACAATGTCGCGTTGGCACCACTTTTCATTGTATGCAAAACTCTTTTGAGGACTTGAGTCTGTTGGTGTTCTCCAAAGGCCACTGCAGTTGCAGTATCATCTGCTGAACATGTCCTGCTTAGTGTTGTGTGACAGCCATACATAAGGGAGGCATTGAAAAGATTGGACTGGGCAAGGTGAAAGTGACGA